AGAGATACATGAAACATAATAATCCTAAAGTTATAGCGATGTTTTTAAGGTTAATATGTTCTTCAGCCGATGGATATAGCTGATTTGGCCGATATTGAAATCATATAGGAACCATATTTAGTGATTTGTGCTTTTCACACATAGAGTTATGGCTCCTGCACACAGGACGTGGTGATACTTGCCGCGCGGCGAAAGTCTGCGCGACAGCCAATCAATATTATTTTTCCGTAAGAGCTAGAAGGTTATTACGGAAAGCAGCATATTGATTGGCTGTCGCGCGAACTTCCGCCGCGCGGCAAGTATTACCGCGTCTTGTGTGCAGGAACCATTACTTGATTGCGTGAACAATGAAAAAGTTCACGTGAAATCGATAGAGCGAAAAGTGAAAAGTGAAAAGTTCCGCTCGAAGTTACGTGATCGCTGCCCAGGTATTCGGCTTGGGCCTTTCTGAGTCGATTCAAAGGTGAACTTCATTAATTTGTACTTATAATTAGAAATCCGACAAAACTGAAAATTCTCTTGTCTCTTTGGAATCGAGTTTCTTAATGCCTCTATCGTCGTGTAACTAATTAATACTCAATTAAATCTGTTTTTTGTTGCAGAGACGAGCACTCGACTTTTAAGCTGGCCGTACACACTTTCTGTAACAGTGACAGTAAAACGTAACGTAAGAATTAACCAATTACGATTGAGTATTTACAAAAATGACGACCTTACAATTCGACGATTCTCAACATGATTGGTAACAATTCTTATGTTACGTCTTACTGTTAGTAAAGTGTGTGTGGCCAGCTTAAGGGGATACTGCGCCGGAGGTTCTGACTCGGGCCTGGCAGAGTTGACGCGAAGGTGAGTTTCACTGATTTCAATTCATAATTCCAATAAATCCGATAAAATTCGAAATTCTCTTGTTTGAAATCGAGTTCCTTAATACTTTCATTGTCGTGTGTAATACTAAATTAAATCTACTTTTTGTTGCAGAGACGAAGCAGACAACCAGCCGACTCTTATGGCTCCTGCACACAGAACGCGGTAATACTTGCCGCGCGGCGGAAGTCCGTGCAACAGCCAATCAATATGTTGTTTTTCCGTAAGAGCTAGAAGGTTATTACGAAAAGCAACATATTGATTGGCTGTCGCGCGAACTTCCGCCGCGCGGCAAGCATTACCACGTCCTGTGTGCAGGAACCATTAGGGGCTGCTGTTCCAGTGGATCCGGCTCAGACTGAGCGGGGTTAGCGATGTATTTTGTGTTTCCGCTAAATTATTAAGTCGAGATTTGAAACGAAGTATTTTGAGTATTCGCTAATTTTATTAAGCCGAGTTAGTTAAGCCTGGGATGATTTTTTTAAATTGCTTAAAGAAATTTTTGCGTATGCAAAGGTGTATTATCGAAAATTATCGTGAAGTGTGTGTATTTCGCTCTGCATCATCTTTAGCATGACAACGTGCCTTAATGTCACTCTACTCCCTCAGTACACGCTCAGAATCTTGATAATAATTTTCCAATAGCCCAAAGTCACATTTATAACGTTAGATCCATCGTAACATTATATTTTCACTTTAGTAATCTTTATTTTTTAATTTCAGCTTTTTACAGTGCCAAGGAGTTCTTTTGTCTTTTATACATTTTTCCTATATAGGGTATCCCACAACTGGTAGAACACTCATTAAGGGCAGGTAGGGGGTGAAATTTGGAACTGAAAGTTTCTCTTCCATTTTTGGGTCCGACAATTAATTATAATGAGATATTAATTAATTAAGTTTGCCAATTCTTTATGACCCTTCGCATAATTCCGTTGCTTACAGTTTTCGAAAATTTTATTCGCAGTAAGAAAAAGTTAAGGACAAACAGTAAGAGCTAGCACAAACATTTCAAATAGTCAATTTAGAAAAAAGGGAGAGTTTTTTTATTTACTGCCATTGTGGGATTTACTGCTTGAGAACTCTTATAGAAATATCATACTAAGAATCATTGATAATTACTTATTTTCAGTATTAAAAATACTGGATAATAAGTAATTATCAATGATTCTTAGTATGATATTTCTATAAGGGAAGAATTCCTTTTTTCTCAAACATAAATGTCCTCTCCGTCTGAATACAGAATACTAAATTCTTTGAGATTAGAATGTATTATATCTTCGACAAAAACTCAAACTTGAAAAAGATAACATTGTTCTTGTGTCAATAGTTTTATGACCTACGATATAAATGGTAAACCTTAAGCAGTAAATAACGATGACAGTGAATAAAAGAACTTTCCCTTTTTTCTAAATTGACTATTTGATATATGTTTGTGCTAGCTCTTACTCTTTGTCCTTAACTTTTTCTTATTGCGAACAAAATTTTCGAAAACTGTAGGCAACGGAAATTTATGATGTTTCCAGTAAAAAAACCATTAGAAGCTGGAAAACATTTAACATATAAATTTATTTATTATACCCCTGAGGAGTCCACGGCGCCTATAGCCCTGAACGGTTATACGGGGCGTTTCATAAGGACGATCATACGATCCCGTCGCAGTTGAATTCGTGCCGCTTGCAGCTGTTAGCCGCGGTGACAGATCAGGTTGTGTTGTTCGCGTCATATAAATTTGATATTTATTGTAATCCCAGCAAACACAATGTTACATGTATATGTATATAAAATATGTAAATATGTAAATAATAAATAAATTTATATGTTAAATGTTTTCCAGCTTCTAATGGTTTTTTTACTGGAAACATCATAAATTTCCGTTGCCTACAGTTTTCGAAAATTTTGTTCGCAATAAGAAAAAGTTAAGGACAAAGAGTAAGAGCTAGCACAAACATATATCAAATAGTCAATTTAGAAAAAAGGGAAAGTTCTTTTATTCACTGTCATCGTTATTTACTGCTTAAGGTTTACCATTTATATCGTAGGTCATAAAACTATTGACACAAGAACAATGTTATCTTTTTCAAAATTGAGTTTTTGTCGAAGATATAATACATTCTAATCTCAAAGAATTCAGTATTCTGTATTCAGACGGAGAGAACATTTATGTTTGAGAAAAAAGGAATTCTTCTCAAGGACAAAAAAATCCCACAATGGCAGTAAATAAAAAAACTCTCTCTTTTTTCTAAATTGACTATTTGAAATATGTTTGTGCTAGCTCTTACTGTTTGTCCTTAACTTTTTCTTACTGCGAATAAAATTTTCGGAAACTGTAAGCAACGGAAATTTATAATGTTTCCAGTAAAAAAACCATTAGTAGCTAATAAATCGAAAACAGATTTTCTTTAAAAATGTTATTAATGTATTCTTTAGATTATCACAAAAATATAATTTTTATAGACAAACTTGTGCATTACAAATATCGTATTACAACTAACATGTACGTTATATGTAACATTGTGTTTGCTGGGAATATAATTTGTAAAAACTAGTATTATAATATAAATTGTAAATACAACGAAAAGGCTAAAGTGGCGCGCGCGAAGCGCGCGCTATGTAGTATTCTAGTA